GAAGTAGATTGCCCCATCTTCCTTCCGAGGAGTGGCTAGTGGGTTTGAACCACCAGCCTTCTGGTTAGCAGTCAAGTGCCTTAGCCACTGTGCTACCAGAGCTCCCTTTTAAAGATTAGAAAGAAGAAAATTAGGAATGGAAGAAGAAAAAACTGAAAATTACCCTAAATATCATCCAGAGACAACCATTGTTAACATTTTGGTGTTTCTCCTTAATTTTTACTGTATGTATACAAACATAAATTTTAACTTTTTATTTTGAAATAATTTAAAACTGAAAAACTTGTAAGAATAATACTCTCGTATACCCTTCATCCCAGATTGTCTCTTTACCTTGTAATATATTAGTGTGTATTTCCTAAAAAGAAAATTTTATATATTCACAGCATACTAATTCAGGAAACATTAGTACAGTTCTTTATCTTTGATTTCATCAGTTATTCCAAGAATATCCTTGATGGAAATTTTTTAAAAATCTGGTCTGGAATCTAGTCCAAGATAAGTATTGTATTTAACCATCCTGTCTTTTTAATGTCCTTTAGTGTGGAATGGTTTTTTAGTCTTTATTTTGCTGATGACATTTTGAAGAATGTTTTACAAGGTGTTTCTCAATTTCAGTCCATCTGCTGTTTTCTCTTGACTTGATTGACTTTGTATACTTTTCATTGGAATTCTGCACATTGTTCTGGTTATCTTTTGCTAAATTCCAAACTACTAGGAAACCCCACAATCAGAGGCTTAACACAACATCCATTTAATTCTAACCCAAGACTTATGGGTCCGGAATACAGATGGGGATCAGCTGACTAACTCTTTTCCACCTAGTGTTGACCTTTGTCACTTCAATTGGTGACTGGTCTCGTTTGGAAGATCCGAGTTGTCTTCACTCATTTGCGTGGTATTTTTCTGGGGATGGCTGGAAAACTAGGATCAGCTGGTCCCTTCTACCTCTGTGTAGTCTCAGCCTCTCCATATAATCTTTCTACACGGTAGTCAGATTTCTGACATGGTGGCTAAGGACTTCAAGAATGAATGCTCTAAAAAACAGGAATTAGAAGCAGCCAGTCTTAAGAGACAGAGCTGAAATGGTATGGTGTCACTTCTGCCATGATCAGTTGATCAGAGCTGTAACCCCATCTGCCTGTGTTCTAGGATAGGAGATAGTCCCCTACTTTTCAGTGGAAAGAATGTCAAAGAATTCATGGTCATAGTCGATCTGCCAGTGATATTGTGTCCTTGTTAGGGCTTTGCATCTAGAGGCGTAAGGTATTTATTTGTCCCATAATTATAATCATTTTAATTTTGATCATTTGGTTAAGATATTTTCTGGTTTGTCCACTGTGTAGTTACTATGTTTTTTCCTAAGTTAATAAGTAATTTGTGGAAAGATTAACTTTATTTAATATGCATGTATATATATGTGTGGGAGCTCTGGTGGCATAATGCCTAAGACATTTGACTGCTAACCAGAAGGCTGACAGTTCAAACCCACCAACCACTCCTTGGAAGGAAGATGGGGCAATCTACTTCCGTAGTGATACTGCCTCAGAAACCCAAGGAGGGGTCGCTATGAGTCGGGTCCAGCTCAATGGCAGATAACAACGACAACATATATATGTATGCTGTTTTGTAAAAAGCAGCTTTAGTTTTTTATTTAGTAATAATTATGAATAATTTTCATAATGTTGTGTATTCTTCTAGAACATGAATCTTTAGATCTGCATTTTTTTTTTCTTCATTTGAAGTTACCATAATTTTCTTAACTAGATCTACATTCTTAGACATTTGGTTGTTTCCAGTTTTGCACTATTATATAATAAGCCCTCAGTGCAGCTATCTTTGTGCATATTGCATGTTGTTTTCTTGAGCTAAATTCCTGGAAATAGAATTTCTAAGGTAAAAAGAGATTCATATTTTTGAGATTTCTGGAATGAACTGCTCTTCAGAAAAGGTTGCCTTGATTTGTACTCCACCAACTTTATTTAAAGTGTGCCCATTTCTCTGTTCTCTTGCAAGCCTGGTTATACAGTTATTTAATCTTTGCTAATTTTATAGTTAAAAATTTGACCATATTTTTATTTTTAATTTTTTTATTGTAGTGCAGATATGTACAAGAAAACATTCCCTAATTAAGATGTTTCTACAGGCACAGTTAAATGATGCTGAGTACTGTCTTTATACTGTGCACCTCTTCATCCCTGTGTTTTTCCTAACTGTCCTACCTCTGTAAACTCAGTATCCCCTATTTCTAATTTTTTGATAACTAATATGGTTAACTTTTTTGATTCTTCTGTATTTGTCAATTATTTCCTTTTGACTTCTGTTTTAGTTGAGAGGTATTTGAATTTTCTTTAGTGTGTTGTAAGAGCTGTTTTTATAAAATACCAGCTCTTTTGCATGTGTATTGCAAATGCTTTTCCCATCTTGCCTTTTGCCTTTTAGTGCCTTTTGACTAGAGAAGTTTTCAGTTTTTACCAAGTCAAATCCTGAAGTCTTTTTCTTTGGTTTCTACTAGTAAGCTTAGAAAGACCTTCTCTATCACAAGAGTATATAATCATCTGTACTTTTTTTCTTATTCCTTGAATTATATTTAACTCCTTTTCCACTTGGCAGGACAAAGAAAATTTTTTTTTCAAGTAGTGGAATAATATAACTTTATTCCATTGATTTAGAGATCACCCTAATACTGATTGAATTTAATTAATAATTGAAAAAAGAATTCACACCTTAATTTTAAATACAGCTTGTAGCATTCATGTAGACTTTTTTAGTAGGAAAAGTCTGTTTTTATTCATTATTTTAAAATAAATTACATTAACTGGAAGCAGTCCTGTAGTTACTTGAAGCTATAGGACATTGATTTTTAGTCACAGTGGACTGTAACTACTGGTTGAAAACATTCTACAGACCATGTGCAGATACTAGATTATGCTTCTTTTTGCCACATCATAAGAAGGCTTTTTGGATCCTTTACTCATCATGACCTACCTTGAAAAAGTCGCATTGGTCAGGTGGTTTGGTCATATTGACTTTGTAAACTTGTCACTTAACATGCTTAATTATGACTTGCTGTAATATTTCTTCTACTTAAGTCTGATATTCCTAAATAAAGCTCTTGGGTTTGATAGGAATTTGTGTTTCATTTTTAGTTATTACTAGAGTAAAAATAAACACAATTTATTAAGCATTTACTGTGTCCTAAGGACTTTGCAGTCATTTGTTTAACCTTTTAATAACTGTGAAGTAGATGTTTATCTTACTCATTTCACAGGTGAGAATGCTGAGGCTCAGGGTGGTTAGTTAAGTAGAGGCTAGTAGTGACTCAAGCTAGATTTTAAATCCTGGTTTCTCTGGTTCCAAAGCCTAGATTGTGAATCACCATACTGTTTTGCCTCAGTATCTTGTTTAGGGTAGTAATTTTATTTGGAGGTGGGAGAAAACCCTTTATTTATTTATTTTGTCTCTTTACTAAGGTATACTGAAAGTGATTCTGATGAGGATTCAGATATGGAAGATAACCCAGATCCACAGGTAAGTCAGACATTTAGTTGACCTATTAACCATTGTTAATTCTCCTTAGAAAAATTCTGTAAGCAATAAAATAAGAGGCTTTGGACATTGTCATCAATAATCATTGAATGCATTCTGTGTGCAGTGTTTAACTGTGTACTTAACTGCTTTGCTTAACTATAGCATCACCAGAGCTGCTAAATCAAATGCTAGTCTAGCTTAATTAGCAAAGAATGTCTGCCTTGAGCACTGTGCTCTTAAAAAACTATCTATATGGAATCAGACTGACAACAACTAGAAAGATTAGATAGGAAACTTAGGGTGCTGTGAGATTTTACTGATGGTTAGAGGAGTAATTTGGAAAAGGAGGTTGAGAATGATTGTACAACTTGAAGAATATAATCAGTGTCACTGAATTGTACATGGAAAAATTATTGAATTGGTGTAAGTTTTGCTGTGTATATTCTCAGCAACAACAAAATATAAATTGAAAAAAAGACTTATGTAATCAAGGCCAGTTTTATTGTAAATTAATGAGGTTTAGGTAAGTGGGATATATTTGCATTAACATTTTTATTGTAAAATTTTAAAAATTGCATGTTCATTATAAAAAATTCAAATATGGTAGAAATGATACAGAAAATATTTATTCTCCTTTCCATAATAATCATTTAGAAATTTGATATCTTGTCATCAAGAAGATTTTTCTTGTAAAGCTTTTGTTCTTAATCACCATTCTATACTTCCTCTTTATTCATTTACCTGGTTATTTTTAATTAAATACTTTGTTACTGCCAAAGAGGCAGGGAGGCTGCATCTTCTGACCTTCTCTAACCCCACAAGAGGAAGACAGAATCACCATCAGTAGCCCAAGGCCTATTCCTGTGAGGCCAGACATGCTGCCTCCCTCCAGCCCTTTCACCAACCCTGCTACCAACCGTTCCTCCTGCAGCTCCCACCACCTTTCTGCTGGGTTTGATAATTCACTGCAGTGGCCACACAGCACTCACAGATTATGGGGTTTATTAGGGAAGCACCAGGCTACAATTCAAGTTCAGGAACAGTGCCAAGTCTCTCTCAGACTGCTGTTTCTCAGCCAACAGTCTCAGTCTCTCTCTCCCAGCAGTGTGTGTCTCTCGGTGTCTCTTTCTCAGCAGCACATGTCTCTCGGTGTCTCTTTCTAAACAGGGTGTGTCTCTCAGGAGAACCTTTCTCTCAGCAGCACGTCTTTCTCAGCCAGGAGTTGAAGAGAGACTTTTTCTGCCTCTAGAAGGGCTCCTTTTGAGCCTGGCAGAGTGACCACTAACCAATCCCAATGTCAGAATTCTAGACATCTGAGAGAGAGCGAATTTCTCAGAAGATTGCTTTGTGCTGGTGCAACAGAAATACCCCAGGTGGATAACTTTAGTAATCAGGAGCTACTCAGTTGCTCATGGCAAATTCCACCATGAAGTTTACAAAGACTTATGGCTAGAAAAGCCACACGATGTAATTCACACTACAGTTACTAAAGCTACTGTGTTTAGAAAAAATATTAGTTATCTATGATAATAGATAATAGATAAAAGATAATATGCGGGGCATATTATCTTATATATAAGTCAATATTTCTTGCATTGAATTGAACACTTTGCAACTATAAATTTCACGTCATGTTAAGCCTTTATATTCTTTTGCTTTGCTTTTAAGTATGTTCATTTTGTGTAGAGAAGAGAATTAGTCTGCATTTCCGTCTTTGGCTAAGCTAGTCCGTGATTTATTTTGATTTTTTCAAAGCCAGAGCATAATAGTATGTTTGATAATTTGGGATGAAGAATCATGTGGTATTGGCCAGCTTTGTTTTTATTAAATTGCCATTTATGTACTGTTCCGTTAACTTGGAATGAGGGTTACATCCTTTGGCATTGTGAAAGCTTGACTGTCAATCATCTTATTGTGAGTACTACATTTTCTGAATGGAAATGCTATGGGAGAAGTTGTAGAAAACAAAATTTACATAGAAAATGTATTAATAGACATTAATATGTGAGTAAACTTTCATAGGCACCTATTGAATAATTAATACTAAAATCATATTTCTGACAGTCAGCCAATCACATGAACAGTTCCCTGCTCTCCTTGTATCGTAAAGGAAATCCTGATTCTGTTTCAAATACTCCTGAAATGGAACAAAAAGAAACCACCACTTCAACACCACGGCTAATTTCCAAAACAGGCTCAATTCCTTTGAAGACCTCTGAAGGAGGATGGTTTATTGACAAAACTCCAGGTGGAAAGACAGATGATTTTTTCTTGGACCTATCAGATGACAGAAATAATCATAAGAAGCCAATATCTGAGATACAGGTATTTTTGTTGTGAAATTCTAGTTCCAGTTAGTTGGAATAATTTACATTTGTCTTGTTGAATGCTATATTGAGCAGATGCTTGTGTTTTGAAAAGACATAACAGTTTTTAAATACATACAGAGTTTGACCACTGCCCAGTACCTCCATCATTTCCATCCTAGTTCAAGCTTCTACTATTTCTTCCCTTAACTATCATAATCACCTCCTAGCTAGATTCTGTGCCCATTCTTGTTATCCTACCTTATTCTTCACACAGTTATCTTTTTACAAGTTTAGTCAGGTCATTGTCATTTTCCTATTTAAAACCCTCCAGTGGCTTAATTCTACTTGAAAGCCAAAGATCTTACAGTTGTCAGTAAAGCCCTGTGTGGTTTGGCTGCCCTGCTGCCTCTTTAATCTCATCTCCTACTACTCTTTCCCCTGTACTCTGCTTCAGCCGCAGTGGCTTCTTGCTGTTTCTAGAATATACCAGGCATTTGCTTTCTGCCTGGAAAGATCTTTCCCCACGTTCATATAGCTCACTCCATCACTGCTCACATCTCTGTTCACATGGCATCTTTGCAGAAGGGCCATTCCTAACATAGGAGGTAAATTAGCACCTCATTGGATACTTTGTTTCCTAATCTTTATTTTTTTTTCAGCACTTATTATCACCTGATATACTGTATAATTTAGCTTAGTTTTTTTGTGTGTGTGGTATTGTTTTCTTTTAGTGTCTCCACTAAAATGTAAGCTCCAGGAGAGCAGGGACTTAGTTTTGTTTAGTAATATGTTTTAGCTAATATATATCTCGCACATTAGTCAGTTAGTGGACTTTCAGCCCAATGAACTTCCTGAAATGCATTTGGGTATGTATCACAGAGAGTTCATTAGTGTTAGGTAGAAAACCAAAAACCAAACCAAACACTGCAATCGAGTCGGTTCTGACTCATAGCGACCCCTCGTTGGGTTTCCCAGGCAGTATCTCTATAGAAGTAGATTGCCCAATCTTCCTTCCGAGGAGTGGCTGATAGGTTTGAACTGCCAGCCTTCTGGTTAGCAGTCAAGTGCCTTAGGCACTAAGCCACCAGAGCTTCTTAGGTGGAAAGGAGGATTGTTAATGAAATAGCAATGTGGTTAATTTTCAGTTTAGGATAATACTTTGAGAGACCACATGAACAGTTATGCTATGAAAATAGATAGAATAAGTACACTTTTTTTTCTTTTTAACTGAAAATACAACATCTATAAAGAAAAATTTGATGAATTATTACACATTGGGCTTCATTCTTAACTGATTCTTTTTAATGCCTGGCAGGATGAGAAGACGTTTAAAGTAAACTATCTTACAGTTTATAGGGTATTCTTTAGGGTTCGCTGTTTGATGTATGTGCTTGACACGTGACTATAGAACATTTGAAATATGACTAGTGCAGCTGAGAAACTGAAATTTTAATTTTATTTATTTAATTTAAATTTAAAAAATGATAACCAATTCAGTTATTCCAAGACTTAATTATGTTTGGAACAATTTGAATACGTGAATCTACTTGTTCAGCTGCAAAATTGATGAACTCTTCATGTAAATCAAGTAATTCCCATGAAATTTAGCACTGTAAATATAAAGTACACCTTGGATTTTGAAGACTTAACTACATACAAGGAATGTAAACTAGCATATTAATAATTTCTCACATGTATTATGTGTTGAAATGGTAATATTTTGGATCTATTACATTAAAATGTTGTTAAACTTAATTTCATATTTTACTTTTTAAAATGTAGCAGCTAGCATATATAAAGTTGCATGCCTAACTCACATTTCATTTCTGTTGGACAGTGCTGCTCTAAGTGGTTTTAAGAACCAAGACTTTAATTTGGGAAAACTTTCCTCTTTTGAGGAAAGTTTTGTTTTGAGGAAGTCTTTTGTTTTAACCATTCGTCTGTAGAGAACATTGTTAAGGTTGGCAAGGTCAAGGAAAGAGTTTGAATCTTCTGTTGATTTATACTGTTTAAAGAAAATGTCATCACTTGAATATGCTTTATGTATTATTTGTTGTTGTTGTTTTCATGTACTGTCAAGTCAGACCCGACTCATAGGGACCCTTTGGGTTGCTGAGGCAGTATCACTATGGAAGTAGATTGCCCAACTTTCCTTCCAAGGAGTGGCTGGTGGGTTTGAACCACCAGCCTTCTGGTTAGCAGTCAAGTGCCTTAGGCACTATGCTACCAGAGCTCCTTTTATATGTTTAGGTATATTTAAGTTTCTTTTCTCTCTAGGATTCAAAAGATTCCTCTTTGCTGGAGAGTGATAAAAAATGGAAAGGCAGGTTAAAGAACAAAGGAAGCAAAAGGAAGAAAGAAGATCTTCAGGAAGTGGATGGAAAACTAGAAACTGTCTTGGAAAAGAAAGGTGAGATGCATGTCTTGTGTGTGAGTAGTCATGTTTGTTATCAGAGAAGGATAACAAGCACGTTGTTTTGCTTGGGGAACCCTCTCTGTGCAGACATGTTTGTTTTCTTTTTTTTTTTTTACCTCCTGTGTACTTCTCTCTGTTTTCCTTTTCCTCAGTCCTACCATGTTAATCATTCACTTTTGGTACATTAAGAGTATGAAATTATATAAGTTTTAATTTTCTGTGAAACTTTTTTTTCCATATTTTAATTTTTAAAATTCTACAATTCAGGTTTATTTTCCTTCTTGATGTTGTATTAAGAATAAGATTTCTGATAATCATTTAAAAAAAAGTGCAGAGACTTTTAGTAAAAATATTTTAATATTTAATTGACCTTTATTTTCTTAAAGATTAGTAAATGTAATTATGAATTATTACCAAAACCCTGATTTTTTTTTTTTTTTAAAAAGCATTTTGGTATGATTTGGTTGAGAGTTTACAGAGCAAATTAGTTTTCATTCAGTAGTTTATACACATTTTGTTTCATGACATTCATTGTAATGCCCTCGATGTAACAGCAATCTTTGCACTTCCTCCCTGGGTTCCTCATATCCATTCGCCCATCTTTCCTGCTCCTTCCTGCCTTCTGAACTTTGATTTTGACAAATGCTACCCTTTTGGTCTTGTATGATTGAATGTTCTGAAGATCACGTTCCTCATGGGTGTTACTGTTCACTTTATAGGCCTGTCTATTGTATTTGACCAGGAGTGAGTTTCCAGGTTTGAACGATGTCTAAGGGCCATAGTCTCAGGGGTTCCACCTGTCTCTTACCAGACTGGTCTTTTTTTTATGATTTTCAATTTTGTTTAACATTTTTTTTTTCCACTCTGTCCAAGGTCTTCTATTGTAACCCTGATTAGAGTGGTCAGTATTTGTAACTGGGTACCATCTAGTTGTTCTGTTCTCAGGCTAGTGGAGGCTGGAGTTTATGTGGTCCATTAATCTTTTGGACGAGTTGTTTCCTTGAGTCTTTGATTTTCTATCACTAAGCTTTTCACCTCTTCCCGTTTGTGCTTGACAGCTAAAGCCAGGGGACTCGAATTACAGCTCTCCAATGTGAAGTTTGAAGATGTTGGAGGCAATGATAAGACACTAAAGGTTAGTTCAAGTGCTGAGTTGTGCATTAAATGGCTATATTGTGAATCTGTTCTATGAACAAAGCTTGCCTATTTGTTTTACTGTGAGCTACGTATAGAAAAGGAGACTGGCAAAGTGAGAAGGGCAAACCTGACCTATATCCTGCAAGATATTGAGGTGTAAATGAAGCATATTTTTCTCACTGTTTTAATTATAGTATACTAAGATACATAGGAACTCTGGTGGCACTGTGGTTAAAACATTGGGCTGCTAACTGAAAGGTTGCCAGTTAAAACCCACCAGCTGCTCTGTGAGAGAAGGATGAGGCAATCTGCTTCCATAAAGATTTGCAACCTTGGAAACCCTGTGGGGCAGTTCTGCTTTGTCCTATAGGGTCTTTACAAGTCAGAATCAACTCAACAGCAATGGGTTTGATGTGGGTTTTAAGATACATACTGTAATATGTTAATAGGACTAGTAATAAAACCACTGGCATCAACTCGATTCCAACTCATAGCAACCCCCATTGGGTTTCCAAGGCAGTAAATCTTTACAGAAGTGGATTGCCCCATCTTCCTTCTACAGAAAGACTGGTAAGTTTTAACTGTCAACCTTCTGGTTAGTGGTCAGATATCTTATGCACTATACCACCAGAGTTCCTCATGCTAGTAATAATGGCTACTATTTATTTTTAATCTTTACTCTGTTCCAGTTACGTTTCTAGTTACCTTTCATTGTATCTGCAAGCCATATTATTTAAAACAAAAACAAATAAATGAATAATAGTTTAGCTTAACTAGTAAAAAAGATCTACCTTGACCATTACGCTCTTTGAAGAACTATCTATATGGGATCAAATTGACAACAGCAGCTTGAAAGATTAGGTAGGAACCTTAGGAGGCAGTGACTTTCTTTTAATGAGGGAGGAACAACTCAGAAAAAGATGGTGAGAATTGTTTTACACTTGAAGAATGTTATAAGTGTGACTAATGGGACATGTAAGGACTCTTAGCAGCCGAGCATGTTAGCCATTTGGTTATTACAGCCTATAAAATGGGAGCTTATAATAGTCCAGTGACTTGCCTAAAGTTATGTAATAGGGACTGGGACTGAGTTTCAAACCCATGTCTAAGTCTTAAAGCCTGTCCTCTCTCTACTATAATTTGCTGCTCCAAAGAATAGAACTTTTAATTCTACTTGATTATTTCTCAGACTCTGAAAAACATTTTTCCTGCTTATTCCCTGCCAGGAAATCTGCAAGATGCTTATACATATGCGTCACCCAGAGGTGTACCACCATCTGGGTGTCATCCCTCCTCGTGGAGTTCTCCTTCATGGGCCACCTGGCTGTGGGAAGACGTTACTTGCAAATGCAATTGCTGGAGTGAGACTTACTGACACTTTACTTTTGTTGTTGGTTGTTTCATTATCTCTTTGATCAACTTGTCTTTGATCTCTTTGATAGACTTAGACTTCCTCAGGAGGAGAATTTGGCCATTAAGAACGGATCCCCTTTTCATTTTTTACATATTTCATGTGATACATTTTTTTCTAGCTTTCATGTGATATATTTTTTTAAATGTGTCCAGTTGTTATTTATATGGCAAGCATTAGGTAGAAGATGAAATAATATACTGTAGCTTCAAACATTCCCTTTCCCCTTCTTTTTAATATGTAGTTTACTTTTTAGTTACATAACAATGAATTCCCCTTAAGCCCCTGATCTCAAGACCAGTAAAATAAGAAAACTAGGTTGTATTTTTCGTAGAGCTAAATTTATTAAAAATTTCAAGTCAGAGTTATGTTCTTACACTGTTTAGTGTTAAAATAGCTTTTCTTTCTGAAATGGTGATAATAGATACTTGGCAAAATATAAAATTAGCAGGCTTATTTTAGTCTGCCAGATTTTTTAAGAATTGTATCAGAGAGTGTAATAAAAGTAGTGCTCTCTGAAAGAAAGTGATTTTTATAGAGGAACTTGATGATTTTACTGCATTTATTCATTTGTTGAACAAATCTTTATTGTCTACTGCATGTCAGATATTGTAATATAATGGTAAGTCCATTTAACCCAGTCCTTACCGTTGAGGAGTTGTCAGTCTAGCTATGAGACAGATGTCACGTAGTCATACAAATAAATACTGCACAAGGTATAATTATAATAAACAGCAAAAAAAAAAAAAAACCAACTCACTGCTGTCAAGTTGGATCCAACTCATAGCGACCCCTCCTTGGGTTTCTGAGTATCACCACAGAAGTAGATTGCCCAGCCTTCCTTCCAAAGAGTGGCTGGTGGGTTTGAACCGCCAGCCTTCTGGTTATCAGTCAAATGGTTTAGGCACTATGCCACCAGAGCTCCTACAATTATAATAAGTAGAAAACAAAAAAGTGCAGAGTGCTGTGTAGGTGAGCTATGCAAGTTAGATTTGGGAGTCTAGAAAGATAGAGTTGAGGAAGTAAAATTTTAGGGTAGCCAAAAGAATGATTTAGGAGTTAGCCCAGTAGACTGAGGAGGAATTAGCCAGATTTGTTGCCACTTTTATTGGTAGGAAAATAATAGTTTCTCTTCCTTGTCTTAAAGGGCTTGCTTTTTCTGTCTAGCAATGTACTGTTCTCTAAGTTAGGGTGGGGAAATGTTAGTAGGCTATGTGGCAACAACTGTATCACAAGTCTTGCTGTTTCCTGGCCAGAAAATTAATTAACAGGTAAAATTATTTTGCTCAGTGCTAAGTAGAGAAATACATACTTTTTGAGATTCAAAACTTTTTACTCCAAAGAGACAACAAAGTTTCATAGTGACGTCATGAAAGTGAAAACAGGTAGAAGGTGTGTCTAGCTAATGTGTTTGATTAAAACCTGTAGAATGTTAAGTATAGTTTTTCATTGATCAACATGATAAAGTTCCTCAGAAAATGAGTCTTTAAAAATGTAGTGTTGATGGGAAGACAGGATAAGGAAAATGTAGGCAATTGAAAAATTTGATCATAGTTTATATATTTGTGCATAGGAACTTGACCTGCCAATTCTGAAAGTAGCTTCTACGGAGATTGTATCTGGAGTGTCTGGAGAATCTGAACAGAAGCTTAGAGAACTATTTGACCTAGCTGTGGTGAGTCAATTAATGACTTTAATGTCAAGCTATTCAAATGTTGTAAGATTATATTAATGAACCTGTTTTCTCTAATGCTGTTATTGTTGTTATTAAGTGCCATTGAGTCAGACCCGACTCATAGCGACCCCTCCTTGGGTTTCTAAGGCGATATCACTACAGAAGTAGATTGCCCAACCTCCTTTCCGAGGAGTGGCCGGTGGGTTTGAACCTCCAGCCTTCTGGTTAGCAGTCAAATGCCTTAGGCACTACGTTACTTCTAGTATTTGTTAACCCATTCACTAGCCATTCTTTTGCAAATGTGGTAATTTGTTACTCATGGTAGTTATAATATATACATATTTATACTTAAAGTATAGTATGTTGGGAGTTCTGGTAGCATAGTGGCTAAAGCACTTGACTGCTAACCAGAAGGCTGGCAGTTCAAACCCACCTGCCACTCCTCAGAAGGAAGGTTGGGCAATCCTACTTCCGTAGTGATACTGCCTCGGAAACCCAAGGAGGGGTAGCTATGAGTCGGGGCCGACTCGATGGCACATAACAACAACAACATACTTAAAGTAGATTTAATAATAAAAATTGTTGAATAAAATAATCTAATCTGTAAATATAATTGGTGAGAAATTCTGGCCTATGTTAAAAATACATTTTCTATGATATTTTTATTCACTTTTAATTTCCTCAAATTAAGTTGGACAAAACAATTTAAAAATACCATGCACATTTTTTTTAATATTTAGTATTATCACATTAGAAAAGCAACTGTGGAAATGTGAAGATAGACTGCTTATATAATTGAAGCTGTGAAAAGATAATTCTGTAACCAGAGAAATTGCAGATTTGATTTTATCCTAATTGCAATTCACGTTACTAAATCTGGAAGATTAAAAACTTCCCAGGAAGATGATATTTGTGTCCAATGCAGTTTTACCTTCAGTATAGTTGTTGTTGTTGTTGTTATTGTGCCCTCAAGTCATAGTGGTTAAATGTCTGTATTTTCAAGTCAAAAAGGAGGTTCATAGCCCTTGTCACCATGTACTGTTTGTGTGATCTTGGACAAGAGACTTGACTGTTAGTTTCTTACTAGTTTTTAGTAATCTGGGATGATAATAATACCAAAATCTCATGGGGTTCTTTAGAGGATTCTTTTAAAAGCATTGATGTAGTACCTAGCACACAGCTATTATATTATGCAATTGGAACAGTCACTAGTCATCATTATGGCTGATGAATAAAAAATAGCAATAAGTTTAGTTACTGCCGTTATTTGTACCCAGAACAGGTAGAGACCGTAATGAACGTGGGCAATACAGCTGTAAAAGCTGATTTGAAATTAGAAAAGAAATTGTGTTTTAGCAGTAATTGAGAAATTATTTTTAAAAATAGCAAGAACATAGGGCCATCTGCTTGGCTTGATATGATGACTGACATTGAAAAAGATGTGGGTAACATAAGGAAAATGCAGGGAAGGGGAGGGAAGAGGACTCTTTCAGGTATTAACCTTCTTTTCAAAAGAAGCTTGCTGTAATTGTTAAATTGGTGTGGTGGTTATGTTTGTGTGTCAACTTGGCTGGGCCTGGTTGAGTGGCTGGGCAGCTGGTAGTAGTTATTCCCCATTATGAGACTGGAAATCAACTCCATGGTGGGATCTATCACAAGCAGCTGAGGAGCTGCTTTGGGTATGTGGTCTGCTTCCTGTATATAAGAAGCAGCTTTGGGAATGGTCTGTAGTTTATGGCACCTTGAACCCTCATGTCATTGTTCAGCAGCCTGCGATGCTCTGCTGACCTTGGGACTTACAATGGACTTAAATTAATGGCCTGCTGTGTGATTTGCTAGTATCAGGACTGTGCCTTGTTACTTGTCAACCTTGGGCTTGCAGCCTCAGCAGCCAGCAGCTGTCTGAGTGAAGAAAAGCCTCTAGCTCCAGTGGGCAGAGCTGAAGCCCAAGGCTGAGGGGCTTTCATTCAGCCCTGACAACTTGGCACTTTGAACTTGGACTTAAAGCCTCCAGATTGTAAGAATAAACTCCTGTTTGTTAAGGCCATCCCATTTGTGGTATATTCCTGTCAGGGTGGCACTAGGTAACTAAAACAATTGGTATATATAGCCAGAAGACAAGAAGTCAATTTTGTATATTTGATAAACACATGATGAATGAAAATAGAGACAAATGATATTTTTAGGTTGTTAGTTGTGCATTTAAATGTCTCTCAGTATTCGTTAACTGAACCAGTGCAGTATCTGACAGTAGATGTTTAATAAATGTATGGTCTAGTACCCACTCTTTGGACCCTGTGTTACCTAATAAACATGAGTAAAATGAAATGTGGATCAGAGAACAAAATGGCCAAATCAAATCAAGTGTTCTTTGTTGAAAACTGTATGATTTCTTCATGCTAAATTCAGATGACTATCACTTTTTCTTTCTTCCTCTTTTTCCCCCATCAAAAAAACCCAAAACCCACTATCATTGAGTCAATTCCAACTCGTAGCCACCCTACAGGACAGAGTAGAAATGCTCCATAGGGTTTCTAAGGCTATAAATCCTTACAGAAACACTGCCTCATCTTTCTCCTGCAGAGTGGCTGGTGGGTTTGAACTGTTGACCTTTTGGTTATCAGCCCAATGCTTTAACCACAGACCCCCCTTTCAGTTTTATATGTCACTATCAGATACTAATGTGCTTGCTATGTGAGACTTTAGCTCTATCTTTATTCCTATTACTAGGTAGTGTCTCCAGCAGTCGTAAGTACTCTTTAGGAAACATTATCATGAGGATTAGGAAAGGAGCCATCTAGTGATGGGCCAGACTTCTTTCTCTTTGAAATGTGGTCCTCATGGTTTTGAGGTATTTTAGTTAGGCTGATAGTCTGAATCTTAGTAGTCATCCTCACTCCTGCCACTAAATAACTAAGAATGAACAGTACTTTAGACTGTAAATCTAGATGTTTTTATTTAAAATTTTCATTTTAACTGCTCCTCGTATCTTACCTCATTCTGCATGAACCCTATCTGATTTATCACTCATAAAAGACTGAGAATGATCATCACCCACACTGATGTACTGGAGGTTTTACATTCTTCCTTACCCAGTATAGTCTTTAAAATAAGCTAAATAAATGTGTTAAAGCTTAGATATTTTTATTTTGGTAGAAACACTCATTGTAGTAAGCTTGGGTTTTCTAGTTCAAAGTTTGTAATCTTACTGTTTATAGAATGATGTTTCATGGCATAGCTAATATGTGTAATTTACAGAAGAATTTCAGATTTATCATCACAAAACATGAATTGATGAAAAAACTATAAATGTATTACCCTATGTGCAGTCTCTTACTGTCTTCTTTTAAGCATCTTGGTTCTCTTAAGTCAGATAAAAATCAGAAGGAATACATGTGAGCTGCCTTCACTATTCTTTTGTGTTATTTTTTTGGGGAGTGACTGTTAACCTTTGAGATTTGAAGAAATGTATATATGCAACTATACTATAGTATAGAGAATATATTTATTATTTCCTTGTCATATTTTTATTTCTAGTCAAATGCACCATGCATCTTTTTTATCGATGAAATTGATGCTATTACTCCTAAAAGAGAAGTTGCTTCAAAAGATATGGAACGAAGAATTGTAGCCCAGCTCCTTACCTGCATGGATGGTCAGTTTAAAATAATGAATTCAATGTAAGATAGATAATAAGTTAGTAAGATAAGTAATACATGAAAATGTTATAAAACATTTAAATGGAGTAAAACTCAAATAATGTAAAAAAAACAGAAGTCTTTTTCTTTTTACCACTGTTAAGTTTTTAGAGTATATCTTACAGTTACTGTTTTATGCATTTACACACACATATACATATACTAGCATGTTCTGCTTTTTACACCACTAGAACTGCACCATACAGATTGTTCTATAACTCTGCCTATTTTTGCCTTAACCATATGTCTTGGAAATGTTGCCATTGTGATGCATTTAGATATATTGCTTTTTAACTGCTGCTTGCTTGGTATTCTGTAGCATAGCTTCATCCTGTGGTATTTAAGCATTCCCACTTTGATGGAAGTTTAAGTTTCAATTTTTTGTGTTAAAACAAGCTATAGGGAACATCCTTGAATGGACCTTTTGGTATATATATGTATTTCTCTAGGATAAATATTAGAAATTGAATTGATGGTCAAAGAGTGTAATACATTTTTAAAAGATGCCTTCTGAAAAAGCAATTTTTAGTTTAAATTTTCGCTAATACTATATGAGAGACTTGCTTTTTTCAGATCTTTGGCAGCATTGAAAGTTATCAGTTGTTTCAATTTTTCCAGTCTGATGGGTAGCATCTCAGTTTGTTTTAGTTATCATTTCCCTGATTAATGTTGATGTTGAGCATCTTTCCAAATTTTTTCTGGCAATTTGTAATGTCTCTGAATTGGTTTTTCTCACCTTTTACCTATTGTTCTATTGAATTGTCTTTTAAAAATTGATTTGAGGTTTTTTGTGTTATTTTGTTTAAATATTCTGGAAACAAATCCAATGATAAATGTATTATAATTATTTTCTTCCTGTCTATAACTTGTTTTATAATTTTATGTAATGGTTTCTAAATTTAAAAAAAAAATGGAGGAAGAGGGAATCAGCACAACTAGCATTTTGGAACTAGAGCTGCCCACTTTGAAATAGCACATGTTTATGTACACACAGGAGCTCTGGTGGCATAGTGCCTAAGGCATTTGACTGATGACCAGAAGGCTGGCGGTTCAAATCCACTGGCCACGCCTCAGAGGGAAGGTTGGGCAATCTACTTCTGTAGTGATAACCACCTGGGAAACCCAAGGAGGGGTCGCTATGAGTGGGATCCAACTCGATGGCAGTGAGTTTTTTTGTGTGTGTATACACATGAAAGTTTGACATATTACATGTTTTGTGTTTCTTGTGGTAACAAGTTGTAAGTTGCTTATTTTGCTGTTGTACATTTATCTAAAATGTTCTTTACATATTGTTTAGGCCTGTATTCTGAGTAATGACATCAGTTACAAGATTTTTTTTTTTTTTTTTTCACATCTTTTAATATGTACCTCTATGAAGGAAAAAAAAAACAATTAAATCATGGCACATTGCTTTCTTTGTGGAAGGATTTTGATTTCTGAGATATTAAAATGTAGAAAAAGTGAACAACTTCAGGAATTAAGCAGATCATTGTTAGAAAGCTCTCAAAAGTCCTGTTAGTTAAGATCTTTGGTGTCTTTCACTGAATGTATGTGTGTCCATCTGTATGTTTTAAGGTTCCTTTTCATCAGCAGCATAGGGAAAATAATAAACAGTTCAGTGTACATAGTCATGTCCCCAGATAGTCTGTTTCATGTGCTAGTTTGTTTTATAGAGTTAGAGAATTTTAGAAAACCTTATTAATTCAGAGTTTACAAATTTGAAATTTTAATCATTTAAAATTTTGAATTAATAACAGCAAGATAACAAAAGATCTCAGGAGAATTAATTTTACCTAATTTAAAAAACTAAGCTCACATATAATTCTAATTCTTAAGAGTTGGAAAGACCCTTAAAAGATCATCATTTTGTGTAAGTGGAAGCACACACAGAGTTAAGGCCCCAGTTCACGAAACAAGTCTTTGGCAAAGTGTAAGTTAGAATACAGATGTTTTATTTGTATGTGTACAGTTAATGTGCTGATTGTAAATGCTCTGTTTACTTATGAGAGCTACTATCCCAGAGTTTTCCTGTTAAGCAATACTTGTTAGCTAGTTCCTTTTATGCTGAGTAGAAAAAAAGAGAGCTTCATCTTTTTTTTTTACAATATTCTGAAGTTCAAACTTTTGGCTATGCTTTAAAGTTAACACAATAAAACCACATTCTAGAAAAGGAAGTAAGAAAGTGAGATGTATCCTGAAGTTACTGACAGTAGTGAGTAACCCATCCCAGCTGAGGTCTGACTTTTATCTTTCATATGACTTCATTTAGAACAAAGAAGGTAAAAAATAGCATTTCAAGTGGCACTTGTGTTGGCAAAAATTGATTTTCTATGGAAGGATTTTTTCATGGGATAAAAAATGTTAAATTTCCATGGTGGTTCTTGTTTACTCTTTATTAAACTCTTGATTTGTCAGAGTATATCACCAAGACTGAAGTCTCTGAGCCACATGAACTGGAAATAGGAAACAAATCCCTACCCTTGGCCATTCTTTTAGCTATGGAGATTAAAGCATCCAGGAATTACCCATAGAACAGTTTTGGCTCAAAACCAGTGTTAGTGCAGGGAAGATTCAGCATAAGAAAAAATATCAGGTGCATGCAAGTTCATAGATCATGAACCTATTTAAATTATGAGGTATTACCTTGTTTCCTTTAAAGATTCTTTCCCTTGTTCAGTGTTCTCCTCACATAACATCAGTCTCTTCCTCTAACTGATTCCTTTTTCTCAGTCTTTGAAAAATTTTAAAGAGTTTTCCTACCTCCCCCAGCCTTACCACATATATCTCTTCTTTGTTTCAATGCAAGATTCATCCAAAGAGTAATCACACTCAACTAAGTATATTCGTTCTATCCAATTAAAAAAAAAAAAAAATAGTTGCTGTCAAGTAGAATTATGTGCCATTGAGTTTTCTTTCTTTTTTTTGTTATAGTAATATTTAATTGTGTTTCCAGTGAAAGTTTACACAGCAGATTAGGAACCTATTCAAGAATTTCTGCCCAGATTGTTCAGTGATATCAGTTATGTTCTTCACAATGCATGACCGTTCTCATTATATCAGTTGTTGTTCCCGTTCTGGTAATCTAGTTTCCTTCCTTGTCCTCTCACTTTCTCATCTTTGTTTTAATGTAATAATTGACCATTTGATCTCATATAGATGATTTTTTAAAGGAGTGCAGTACTCACGGGTGATAACTCTTCATTTAGTGAACCAATCTGTTATTTAGTCAAAAAGTGACCTAGGGATGGTTTCAGTTCAAGATTTAAAGAGTATCTTAGGGCAGTAGTCTTGAGGAGTCTTATCTGGTCCAGTGAGTCTGGATTTTTTTTTAAGGATTTGAGGTTCTGTTACATATTTTTCTTCCATTCTACTAGGACTCATCTATTGTGGCTCTGATCAGAATGATCAGTAATGGTAGCCATCTGGCTCCTCTGGTCTCAGGGTAGATGAAGCTGTGTCATGTAGACAGTCCTGTATACTAGTTTCTTCTGAGTCTTGGGTTTCCTTCTTTCTCTTTTGTTCCAGACAAGTGGCACAATAGAGTTTTCAGCGGCTGATTTTTCAGAAGTAGACACTAACTTTGGAAGTACCTCTAAGTACACTCAAACCTTCAACCTTTTAGTTAGCAGTTGAGTGTGGTAACTGGTTGTACCACTCAGGGACTCTTCTATCCCTTTAACTTTATTTCTGCCTATACCATTTTACTGAAACTTGTTATTGTTGGATGCCATCGAGTTGTCTTCAACTCATAGGTACCCTGTGTTCAGTAGAATGAAACACTGCACGGCCCTGTGCCATCCTCACAATTCTTGTTATGCTTGAGCGCATCATTGCAGGCAAGATCATTCCATCTTGTTGAGTGAGGGTTATACCCCCCACCCCCTTTTTTAAAAAAATTGTGATTTAGGTTAAAGTTTACAGAGCAAATTCCCTTTCCATACAGCAGTTCACATACACTTTGTCTCATGACATTGACTACAATTTACCCCAATGCAACAGCTCCCCTCTCGCTTCCTCCCAATAGTTACCTCTTCCCTATGTCCATACCTCCATGTACTCCTGCCTCCTGAGCTGTCTCCCTGTGCATAAACAGCCCTTCTTTCTCCCATGATTGTTCTCTCCAAGGAGTGTATCTACTAAGGTAAATGTTCAGCTCACAGGCCTGTCTTTTGTTTGGCTGGAAGCCACAGGTGTGGGTTCAATTCAAGACATGAAGCACAGCTAGGGGCCATAGTCTCAGTGGTTCCACCAGGCTCTATCAGACCAGCAAACCTGGTCCCCCCCACTTTTTCTTTTCCCCCAAATGATTTTCAGTTTTGTTCCACATTATTCTCTCTCTCTATCCAGGATCTCCTACATAGATCGCCCTCTGAGTGGTTGACAGGGGTAACCGGACACCATCTAGTGCTTCTGGTCTCATAGTCATATAGCCTGAAGATCACATGGTATACCAGTCGCTAGGACTAATTGTTTCCAAGAATCTTTTGTTTTCTTCATTCTTCTTTGCTTTGGATGAGGAGAGACCCATTGTTGCATCTAGATGGCTACTTGTAAGCTTTTAAGATTCCAGTCTCTACTCGCCAAAGTAGGAGGTGGAACAGTGTTTTGTGTAGTATATTATGCCAATTGAGCTTGATGTCCCCTGTGACTATGGTCCCAAGCCCACAGGTTCAACTACTCGGTCCCTCTGGGTAGCTGGCTGTGACCCAGAAGTGACTACAACCTTGTCCCTTGTCAGCTCTACTATACACCTGGGAATTCTTATAGAACATATAAATACACTTGTATAACCATTGCCTGCCAACCCTGTACATGGTCTTGTGTACATTCCCTGCTTCATAGACATACCTACTAGTTCAGCCTGTCTACCCGTCTGTCCACCCGTATACCCATGTTTGCCTTCACTGACAATGCAGTATCGTATGTGCAAAAGGGTTCATCTTTGTTATCTGCACCT